GACAAAGAGAACTATAAAACTCAAGTTTCGAAGTCGCGTGATTATAACGGATGAAATGATTATGAACAAGAATGAATTTTGTTCGAAACTGTGTCATCTAGTAAATAACAATGCTGTTTCACTCATTGTGTGATATCCCTGATAAACAAATTAATATGAATTGTCACTCTTTATTTATCTAATTTAGTATGACTTTTTGTGAAATGTTGTCTTTGCATGATTATCACCTCTTGTGTGTGTAGTATTTTTTTACATTACCTCCTCAATCTTATTATTCCTACATTCCTTCTAACTTTTAACAAAGAATAATAACCGGCTTTTGTCAATTACAACTAAAATCATAAATCTGTTGTCGCAATTCACATTTCTACTATAATGACAAAAATATGTTTATATATGCGATTGTACAGCTGGACAATAAATAAATGTGTCGAAAAGAGTCTCTTCCTTGAATCGTCTACTTTGGTTTTTCCGTATGTGTGGACGTTTCTCCAAACAGGTAAAAATATATGAGTGGTTCCAAAGACCTCTGCAGACTTAAAGAAGCTAGGAAACAACTCAGCAATTGCCCTGCATTCGATAGAAACGGGACACACAAGATCGACTTAGATAGGACTAAGGTTCTACAGAAAGGTTTTTGGTTCGTATATAGAAAAACTGACTGCAGAATCTCTACATATATGGATGAATCCCATCAGTTTGAACAGACGTGAAGGTGTGATGCTAGCTGATGCATGATAAATCGTGATTAATAAACAAAAAATGGATATGTATCAAAAATTAATCATACTTAGTCAAAATTACCGATTGTCGACATTTTCTTATGGAGACGTTAACAAATGTTCTACAACTATTTACCCCCCCCCACACACACATACACACAGACACACAGATACACACTCTGTTTATAGTGTTTAACAAAGGTAGAGCAATATTTGTAAGTCTGAGGTCAAACTTTGATCACAGTTCATGCAATTTTGATTACTTACTACACATGTTGATACCTGTTTCATGACTCACATGACTGGACAAACTGTTTTAAAAACAAGAGATGTTCCTTTTACTTATAAACCTCTGTTATGTTAATTACAATTCATTTCCCTGAAGAACTTCAGACCAGAGTACCAAACGAAAAGTTAGAATTAATCATTTCAATTTCGCTGAGATTTTACAAATATAATTGCTTTTACAAATGTTTATTTAAGGAGTATATATATATATATATATAACGAGATGGTCAGAGCCCATCGGCAGGAAGTCCAAGTTCTACATTTCGAGCTTATTGGCATTCACTAGTCAGAAAGGCGTATCTGAAATCCTGAAAGAACTCATATCCCTCCTAAGATTCGAATTCCGGTGCTGTTTTCAGAAACACTATCACCAGGCAATTAGGGCCTATAATTCACCTACTGTAGGACTATATACCCTAACTAGCGTCATATATATGATGCTGTAATATGGGAAAATTAATAAAATCAATTAAACTTTCAAACCCTCTCAGATATTTAACATCTGAGTCATGAGGAAAATAAAAGATAAATTCAGCGAAGAAAATTTTCTTTATCGATGAAATCATCTTCACAGACTGCCTGTACAGTCGTATTTATTTTTACCGAAATCTATAGTGGTCAATTATTGAGTATTAGGAGGAGCAGGTGACATAATTGATATAATTACTCGAAAAAGGCTTTTGAAGTAAAAAATAAAAATTGTAAATTGCGTGGTACTCAACGGCACAGAGTTTGAAAATTTGATAAGGTTAAATTGCTATTGAGTAGTGAGAATAAAGTTGGTAGTTGAGTGTCAATTGAACAGGGTGAGGCCACACGGTACAAAGGGTGTCAGGTTTCGGCTTTTATATATGGCGAGGTGCGGGGCAATTTGTCAATACAACCCTGAACTCTGAATACAAAAAAGTTTGTCCAAACTCTTATTCTACCTTGATCTTAACCTCTTCACTAATCGTTCCCTGTAAATAATTTTTGATTTTTTCTTTTGTTTTTAATTTTACTTTTAGTTTGCTTTTACTTTAATAATTGATTCACTATTATCAATCTCATATGCTCCTTTTGTGCATTTTCACACCCTCTTCACACTTGTTAGAATGACGCTCAACTTCCACTTTTATTCCCACTCAACAGCAATTTTAACCTTATCAAATTTCTATATTTGTGCCGTTGAGTACCACGTAATTTACAAATTTTAATTTTTTACTTCTAAAGCCACTTTCGAGTAATTATATCAATTATGTCACCTGCTCCCCTATTACTCAATAATAGTAGACTACTATATATTTTTTGGTAAATATAAATGCGACTGTACAGGCAGCCTGTGAAGATGATTTCGTCGATAAAGAAAAGAACTTTTAAAACAATTAGTTCCCTTTATGAATTTAGATAAAGCATTAAGAAGACGTAATTTGTCTGAATCGTGTAGCACATTTCGAATAATCTGATCCATCACACACGGACTTGTCATAGGATTTCATATATATGAAATTAATAAAGAGGTAAGAGGTGAGAAAATAGACTCAGGTCAAGTTGAAAGGACCCATCAAGCCGTCGACTAAGCAATATGTCTAGGAAAGATAAACAATTATCTTCCTCTTCTATAGATGTAAGTGATATGCTATGCTTAACTTAAGATCATCAATCAATTCAAATGTATCTTTTATCACATACTTACAGAATTGTGTTTTGACTGGATTCAATAATTCTACTAACCATTTAGTAAGTTTATGCGTTGGAGATTCGCACATTGACAATATAGGACGTAGAGGATTATTGGGTTTATATATTTTTGGCAACCTATACATATGTGGGAATTTACAATCTGATGGTTTTAATGAGTCAAATTTATCTTTACTTATAGCATTTAGGCTATGAAGCTTCAGTAGATTAGCTGTCACTATGCCCTGCAACAACGAATATCTTCTCATGAGGGATCATGGCTAAATTTGCTAAATTTATCACCAAGATCAGACATTATTTTAGATTTGTAGTCACTTTTATTTATAATGACGACTCCAGAACCTTTATCAGGTTTAGTAATAATTATATTAGAATTTTTCCGTAGCTCTTTCAAGGCTTTAAAATGCTGGGAATTTAAAATACTTTTCTCCTTTGGGGTGTTGTTTAAAACCTTTTAACGATTTATTAAATTTCATATATATTCCTATGACAATTACGTGGAATGTGATCAGATTGTTCGAAATGTGTTGCGCAAATACACATTGCACACAATTCAGACAAATTACGTCTTCTTATTGCTTTATCTAAAGGAAAGAACAATTTTCTTCGCTGAATTTGTCTTTTATTTTCTTTATGACTCCTCGATGGATATTTTCGGTGATTTATCTCTGAGTATATTTTAATTATTTATCCGTTGATGACAAGAGTAACTTTTAACAACAACAATAATAATAATAATTGTATACAGTGAGTACTTGAATAAAAGACATCTAAATCAATAACACCATGATAATCCCCTAACAAAAACCTGTGCGTGAAGGGAAACAAATATTCTCAGAGTGCAATTACCAGTCATCTTGTTGATACCAGACATCTCGTAGAGAAATTCTAAGTCCTTCAAAATATTAAATGGACAAAGGACAGCAAATTCACTACGACTTGCCGAAGCAATCGCAATCAAAAGACTTAAACCAGACTAATGCATACAGAAAGAGAGTGTGATTAACCTCTCACTCCCTTGGTAACAGAATTTTGATTTTGATTAGTCATCTAATTCAGTGATCTCAACTCACTGAACAAATCTTAATCTCATAAACTGTAACCGCTTTTGTTTCTTGAGTTGCTAGGTGAACGTACAAGCTAACACTGTTCTGTTAATCAATTTTTTCTGTTTTCTGTCTTACCCCTCCCCCCTCTTTTCAACTTTAAAAGCGTATAAATTGATGATGAAAACTTAAACTAAAAAAACATTGTAATGCTTTCATTTTGGATGTGTCAATTTTATAGTATCTCTTTTCTACCACCACTCAAACATTAAATATGTTATTATCATCTATATAACCATTGTAATTTCAAGTATGGGTGTGCAATTGATGAGAACCTGTGAAATAGAATGAGGACGATATCATTTTATACTGCAAATTTCGTCTTCCTTTCTTTAGCAATTTTATTCTTATCAAATTTCTAAACTCTGTGCCGTTGACTACCACGTAATTTACAACTTTTAATGTTTACTTCTAAAGCCACTTCTGAGTAATTACCTCAATTATGTCACCCAGTCTGCTATTACTTAATAATAGACTACTATACATTTTTTGGTAAGTACAAATAAGACTACTGTATGGCAGCCTGTGAAGATGATTTCGTCGATAAAGAAATGAGAAGTTTCTTCACTGAATTTGTCTTTTATTTTCTTCATGACTCCTCATTGGGTATTTTTTCGGTGGTTTTTACCTAATTATATTTTAATTTATATCTGTTGATGGCAAGAGTAACTTTTAACAATCATTTTAATAATAATAATACTATACAGTGAGTCCTTGAATAAAAGACATCCTAAATCAATAACATTATGATAATCCCCTAACAACTAACTGTTCATTGATTTTTGTGAGATTATATAACTTGTATCAGTTGTCTGTTATGCTTAACATATCTGATACATCACACACATACCCACATAACAAGAGGTAAATCTGAATGGCTTGCAAAATGAACCAACAGTGTGTTATATACTCTTCTTATCTGAAACCTACAAATCTACAATATTTCCTCTAAAGTTTTTCAATTTTTTTTTTGGCGTTGTATTAAAAGTTGATATCATAAAAAAATAAAATGTCTTATATTATTTTTAGAAAAAGCAAAACAAACATACAGGAAGTCAAAAGTTTGTACACATTGTTTAATTACTTTTCCGCCTAAATTCCTCAGTTGTTCACTGGTTTCTTTCTTTCTTTTTTTTTTACCGGGCAAATCCAGGATTATCGTAAGCTGCAACACTTCTCTGTGATGCCAGATAAGGTAGATACATTAGATTTTTCGATAATAACATCCTTCTTTCATTTGTTGCTGCCTGTGTGAATGTATAGAACCTGATGGTGCAAAGGTGGATTCATTATTGTTGTGATTGTTGCTATTGCTATTATTATTATTATTATTATCATCAGTAATACCACTTGATATATTCCCATTAGCTGTATAATTATTTCTATCTACGCTTGTTGTCGTCTCAGTATCATTCGGTGATAAATATCCAGCTACAGATACTTTAAACAAATCAAAATTTTGATAAATACATGGATATGGCTTTTTATCAAATAACCGTGTTGGTTGATTTAAAAACATCACTGGACTCAATGCTTGACGTTTACAGAAGGCTGCAAATGAATCACATTCAGTTAAATGTTCAATTACACTAGGACGATTATAAATGAGAAAAAATACTGGTCGATAAGCACGATGTAAATGTTGACGTAACATTGATGCACTACTCGATGAATGTATACGTCTTGAGGCTTCTTTCAGTTTACTTTCTGGACTTTTATGATTTGTACTGCTGGCGTCTTCATTTCCATGTGTGTTCTGTGAACCTGAATCAGTTACTGAATCATCTGATGATGGTGGATCTGGAGTATTTCCAGGTTTTATTTTACTGTTTGATATTGTTGTATAATCATAAGATGAAATTGTAAAATATGCATTCATTTTTTCATTTGAATAACCTTCTGATAGCAATGATGACTTTTCTGCAGCTGCCGATGAACCAATTATATCATCTTTTACACTGTAATTAGAAGTTAAATTCGACTCTATATTCTTTTCATTAATCAATAAAATTAGATTTCGGTAACCATACATATCAGATCTACTGTAATCTCCATTTGGTGTAGTTGTAGAAAGAAAATGAGTGACAATACTTAAATTATGACAATTTTCACCACCAACTTCATTATGTCTTAGCCCAGGCAATGTCCACATATCACCTAATTTCCAAGAAAATTGTTCACCAGTGACAGTTAGAGGCAAAGTTTTAACAGTCTTATTATAAGTGCTTGGTCGACATTCATTATCAAATAGAATTAGCGGTGTTAATGTTCGTGTATCAATCCCTGATACTTTATTTAATTTGATAGCTCTAATAACAACATCAGCAACATAATCTGCAGCAGCATGTATTGAAGATAAATTTCTCAGCATACCCAGTTGATATTCATAAATAATACAAAGTTGTTGGGCAAATTCTGAAAGAACAGAAAATCTATGCGATTCTGTAGTTTCTTCGAAAAGTTGATATAAAGGACCTTTAAGCTTATTACTGGCATTTCTTTCAAATGATGTAAGAGATGGACTTTGTACGTTTGAATAACACTTTCTAGTGATAACTACATCTGGTATTTTTGGTTTTCGTCTGACAAATTCACAAAGTTCATCATAATCAGAATGATTTTTACCACAGTAATCAAGTTTTTCGTCTGTTGAAAGTAGAGACCGTCGTTTATTATTGTTATTAGTGAAAGACAAACGGCGGAATAATGGTGAATTTGTTAGGGAACGTATTTTCATCAAAGGTGAATGGTTGGTATGTTTCTGTTCTTTAAGCGGTTTACTGATATCACGATTAGAATAAGAACTTTCATTTTTCACACGTTTATTGGTATTATGCTTTAACTGCTGGTCAAGTAAACGTCGTAGCAAGGGTAAATCAGTAGAATTATTCTCATTTTCATTATAAAATTTTGATGTTGACAGTGTAGGGGATGAAATATTTGAAGATCCTGATGGACTTTGTACACAACTATTCGATGTACATGAAACAGCTTGAACTAATTTACATTCAAAGGATTTTATGAAGCGATTTACAAACCACTTTAGATTAAGTAAGACTTTCTCTCTGTTTGGACATCGGTTCATAATATTCTCCCATAAAAGGGAGAAGATCAAATGTACGATGATTTATACGTTTAATTGCGTACATAATGTTAATTCGAAAAGCATTTTTCACTGATGAGTCGGTAGGAAGCTGTTCATTGGTGGAAAATATATCTCAAGTTTTTTCCATTTATGTCCAATCCGATTAACCTTTTTATAGTTAAATAGTTATTTTTATAAAAATCTCTTATTTATTTGAAACTAGATTCACAATGTTTTTCAACTCAATTTAGATGAACTTTCTTACGCGCGATTTCAAACTCCCAAGGTCACAAAGCAGATGTGAGCTTACTGTTCTATTTTTGCTTCTTTATCATGCCAGGAACAGTAAAGGTTAAAGTTTTGGCAGCAAGAAATTTACCAGTAATGGATAGGGCGTCTTTTCTAACAGATGCTTTTGTTGAAGTAATGATACGTTCATCCAATCTTACATGTTAGTTATGCATCGGAAGCATCACCTACAAAACTGAAGTAGTTCGGCGATCACTTAATCCATCATGGAATACTGATTGGTTTTGCTTTAAGGTATGAAAATGGATAATTTTTAACAACCTATAGTTAGATGATCAGTCCCTTCAGGAGGAGGCGCTTCTACTAAAGTTTGTTTTCCTCTAATAATGTTATATGCACATATAGGGTTATGGATCACGATACATATAGTGCACATGACACGATTGGACGGGTTTACTTTGATCTTAACCCGCTTCTAAGTCGTGGGCAAACAAGATGTTTAAATGGATGGTTTCCAATTTATGATACCATGCATGGCATTCGTGGAGAAATATGTCTTGCCATCCGTGTAGATGTTTTTCTTGATGCTAGTCGGTATCACCAGTCTTCGCTTGGAGTGAAATTTTTCCACTGTAAGTCAGTGTTTTGGTTTTCGCCTAAGTACGATTTTTTGAATAGCTGTTGTGAAATTACGTTCAAATTTAAGTAATATGATTATATTGATAGAATCCAAAATCGATTTCCACTATGATTTAGAAGCCCATTTAACTTAAATGTGTGTTTAGGAAAGCCTACAGTGAAAGCATCTGTAGTATTTTATGGTTATTCGGCGCTTCATAGTTTACGATTAGATTCAGAAATCAAGGGATAGTAGGCTCTTGTGACCTGCCTTAATCCTTACTCTATATATCTCTGCAGGACTTGATTTCCATTTAGAATCGTTCACCGATGGAGATTTTACTACCTGATCTCGTATCAAATACTAGACCACTATGTAAGAATCTAAATTCCACATGTATTTTGTTCGTCCGTGTTTTGAGAACTTTTTGTGGTGATCTAACAAAGGTAACATGAAGGGAGTGAAAAGTTTAGAAGGGTCAATCCGTAAGTCACCCTCTAATATACGATATGCCAAAATGAAGTCACTTCTTCTTCAGTATGATAATGCGGAAAGATTTAAATATTCCATTTTCTCATAAGGTAGGTGTAAGATAAGACTGACTAATATGGTTCCTACCCTTTCTGTTCATTCCAAGATGCACACCTCTTTATAGCATAAACTGGCCGGTTGTATATGGTATTCTCTGTAAGGCTTTGCATGTGTCGCATAGAGTACTTTGAACTCATTAAATCGTGTGAAAGTACTTCTAAGTGCCCATAATATTCGAAAAGCCATGGCTGCAGTAGTATGAAAATATGCTCTTGTTTTCAAATCATCCCTGACGATAATTCTGAAGTTCCATGACATCAGGCATTTCTGTGTCCCAAGAAGTACGACGCGTAATACTTCTCACTGAACTTTTTCCGGGATTAGTTTCCAAACTCAAGAAGTTAGACCGTTCAGTTAGTTTATTTGGATCACCTTATAGGACAGACCTATCACCATTATTTACTGCTCTTCGGATTTCAATATCGTCTGCAAATAGTAGTAAAGATGAGGTAGAGATTTTTTGGCAGTTCGTTTACATAAAGTAGGATTAACAAGGAACCTAGTACAGTTCCCTACGGTACTCCACTTGATACTCACTCAGACAATGCACCATTAACCCTTACCCGTTTCCTTCTATCCAGTAGGTAGTCTTTCACAGGCATTGTTCTAATCCAGAACGTTTTACTTCAATAAGGAGACCTACATTGGACAATTTATGGAATGCTTTACTAAGGTCAGTAAAAACAAATTCCAATGATAGGTTTATGTCCGTGGCTTCTGTCCAATCTCCCATAGCTAAAAGTACGTTTGTTAGGCAGGGTCACCTTGTCGCAATCCATGCTTTTCCTCGTTTAGTGAGCCACACTTCTACGTATGAGCTATTAGCTGATCCTCCATGATTATTTCTAATACCTATCAGATGGCGCAGATGCATCCACTCCTTGTGACTTATAATTTCCAATGAAACTGTTTTGTTCTTCGTTATTACTCCTCCTTTGTCTCACACCTCTGTTTACTGTCTCTATGATGCATTTCTTCTACTTTGTTCTCTTGGTTTGTGTGCTACATGGAGGGAGTGTGGTGACTTGAACTTCCGACATCAGTGCAAAGTTCTCTGTCGAAAACAGCACAGACAATGCCTATCAGGCTTGTGGTTAGATACCAATTGTCAGTTCCCCTTTTTGGTGTTGGGGGTTATGATTACGTACTTCCATTCCATGTGTAGCTTAGCCTGAGTTAGAGACATTTTGAAAACCTCTATAAGTGGTATGTATATGACATCCCCCAAGTAGACCGAGAGTTATGGCAGAGGCTGCCAGGACCTGGTGATTTATCTGGCTTTGGTTTGAACAGTAATTTGAAGCATTCTAGTGGCAATGGCAGTGACCTCGATAAACCTCATGGTGGTACGGTCAGACGAGGAAATATCACAAAAGTTTTCAGCCTTTGCTCCATCTGATTCGGCCATCGATATACCATTGCTAATTTTAGTTCAACGTTTAATACACGAGTATAGTCTTTTGGGATTATGTACACAGGTAAAACTAGCTGCCTCCCGTACCTCATACGACTTTTATTAATCGTGTACTTGAGAAGGTTCCCAACTTTGCGATAGCCTATCTGAAACTCCCCAATTTATGTTACAGTAAACTGGTCTCATGAGCTTTTTCACTTTCTTAATGACCTTATTTCACCATTAATCCAATGCGATAACTTTTGAGGAGCAGATCAAGGTAAAAAAAGTGCAGTAACACATTCCAATGTATTCCTAAATCTTACCTAAGCTTCCCCGACAGTCTTATTTGTATTAGCTGAATAGGACTGCTGCATTCCGAATTGCCGATATATTTTATTTTTTATTTATTTTTGATTACAGCTTGATTCCACACCGTATTTTTGGCACAAGTATGGAATTTTCAGCGTGGATATCGGTAGCCCAAATTTCGCAGGCCGATCATAGATATCAGGTGTACCTCGGCGTGGGCTCGAACCCCGGACCATGTGCATGGTCGGCGAGAGTCGTAACCACTGTGCCACCGACGCTGCATTCCGAATCGCCGATATGTCCGCTTTTCGAATATTTCCACGACCAGATATGGATCTGTGTATGAATCTTTAACGTAAAATTAGACTACGTGGTCATTACTACCTAGAAATAGGAGGCACGTGATGTCGTTTACATTTTTCTGGTGTGTTAGCACTAGGTCCAGAGTAGGGCTATCGTATTCAGGATCGTGTCGTATTGGTGCATGCATATGCTTCACAAGTGCTCATTCATGGACAGGCAGTGAAAGGTCTTTATTGAAACAGATATACAAGCTAGTTGATGTTGTCTTTCTTATCCCGGTTGCATAGAGCAATCTCATCACCTTTCTGATTAATTACTCTATCTGCTCTAATACAGATATATCCCGGTATGAGTGGAGTGAGGTCTACATCCACTAATAACCATGTTCCACTAACTACAATAACACCAGAATGTAGTCTTTCAGACAATACTTTTATTCGGGCAGCTTGTTCCCAGGACTACACGCGTTTGTATGACACACTCTAAACCTACGTATCCATTCGACTTATGAATTAGAGGTCTTCTCAATATAGGTTTCTAAAACCCAATATTTGTAAAGATCCTTTTCCACTTTTTCTAATCTAGCCTTCACTTCCACTACAGCTTCACTTCTTTTAATCCTATGCTCCAACAGCCAATCAAGTCTCATTCTCAACTCGTCCTTGTTGATCTTAAACGCGTTGTTAAGTACAATATCGTCTCCATTTCATTCCTAAGTAGTATTAGTAATAACAGCTTTATTCCAAACAGTATTTGTGGTACAGGTATGGAATTTTCAGCGTGCATTACAGTATATTGCATCTAATTACCTCATAAATTATATAAGATTTTTAAAAATCAAAGATAAATAAATAAAATAAATTAATATTAAAAATTAAGAAAAAAAACAACGTAGAGTATTTCATTTCAAACAATGCAACACAGGATTTGAAATATAAAGTTGATGTGTGGTACTAGATGAGAACAACAGTGTGATAGTAACGAGGAAAGGAAAACAAAACTAATGGGACTATTTGTTAGAGTGCCGCAGTAAGTTTATCGTGTCATACCTAACGGATTTCTCATCACATAACAGCTGTGCCAGATATGGTATTGTGGAGTTTTTGTATTTGGTAGTCCTAGCATATAGCCTCCTATAGCTGCTTCTAGTTCTTCCAGATGAAATGCAAGGAGATAGATGCGTATAGAGAGGATGCTCGGGGTCCGACAATATTGTATTCGCTAGTTTCTTACATTTTTTTGACAGTTACAGCGAACTCCGTAGCATCAGTATTTCGTTTGATGACTCCGATGACTGCTTGCACTTAAACTCCATTGCTTACTTTGGGAAGTAAGTCACAAATAATAGAACCAACTGCCCCCCCCCCCCGAGATTATGTGTATGTTGGGCAGACAGATTTACATCTGTCACTTCCTCTTGAGTTTACAGATATTATTATTATTACTATTATTATCGTTTCCTTTAATTCCTAGAGGAACATAGGGCTTCAGCCGCGCATCTCCATTGCGTTCGGTTCTCTGCTAGAGTTTTAACCTGGCTCCAAGTCTGCCCACATGCTTTCATCTCCTCTTCACATGAGCTCCTCAAAGTCACCCTTGGACTGCCAACTCTCCGCTTCCCGTTCGGCCGTGTTTCACTCGAGCGATAGTCTGGTGTTTGATGTCACTTGATGGTTTTCTCGGAGTATGGCCAGCAAATCTACTTCCATTTCTTCCTCCATATTTGTTGCAGAATCGGTTTCTCATTGCTTCGCTCCCAGAGATCCCTGTTGCTAATCTTTTCTGGCTGGCCATCTGATCTTTAGTGGTATTGAGCAAAGATAGCTACTAATGAAGGTGTGCAGTTTGTTTGAGGTGCTCTTCAATATGTACTAAGTCTCTGACCCTTAGAGTAAGTAGCACTGACTTCATATTGGAGTTGAAAATCCGGATTTTATTTTCATTTTCATGCTGAGTGCTGTTGACCTCCACATAGACTTGAGAGTAATGAAAGCTTGTCTTGCCTTCCCGATGTTCCCTCTGATATCCTCATCAGTTCCGCCTGTAGTTGAAACAATGCTTCCTAGGTAGGTAAAGGAGGTTGTTTCCTTCAGATTCTTCCCATCTATGCTGGATGATTGTTATCTGTTGTTGTTTTTGCTGTTGGTGTTGGCCAGCAATCTTCATCACCTCTGTTTTATCTATGTTCACCTGAAGTGATGTGCTATCATTGCTTCTTCTGCCAGCTTGTTGCTTTCACTGGCATATCTTTCAATTGGTGGTAAATCAGACAAATATCATCGGCGAAGTCCAGATCCTCCAAGTTTTTTGTGTTGGTCCATTTTATGCCTGTTTCCTCGCTTCCCGCTCTCTGTCCGTCATATTATCCAATCTACTGCAATCAGGAAAATCATTGGCGATAGTAGGCAGCCAGC